ACTAATTTTTGTAGTTTTAGTAGAGATGGGGTTTCATCATATGGGTCAGGCTGATCTCGAACTACTGACCTCAGGTGATTATCTGCCTTGGCCTCCCAAAGTGCTGGGATTATAGGCATGAACCACCTCGCCCAGCCACAATCTTTTATTTAAGGTATATAATCTATTATTTATAGACTGAAACAAAAGCACATATATTGTGCTTGTGACTTCAGTGCACTGATTTACTGGCAAATCCATAATAATGCAAATGGAAGAAGTACTTTTGTCTTACAAGATGAGAGTTTTAATTTTATAGATACTTTAGCTGTCTTACCCTAGTGGTCATTTAGGTATTCAGAGATTATAGAACAATTCTTGTTTTCAGAGGATATAAAACAATTATTTTTAAGATTACACAGAATTAAAATGTATGGAATTGATAGAAGATTCTGGTGCTGAGGCAGGATCCTTTTTTGCCTAGTTAGCAAAGTGTAATTAGTGCAGTGTCTACTTAGGGGGAATCTTGTGAGAAATGAGAATCTGTAATCTACACACAGAATATTTTGACTTCTCTGGCAGACTGTTCCTTGCATTTTTTAAGAAATATTTTATCTGCCAGTTTGTTCATATAGTGCACAGCCATTTCTGGAAATGTATCTTGAGAATCTACAGATATTTGCTTGTTTTCTCCTTAGAATCCTTTTAGATTAGGTTTTTATCCCTCCCTTTTCTTTTTTATTCCAGATCCTGCACTTTTTTTTTTTTTTTTGTTTTTTTTGTTTAATTTTTTTTTTTTTTTTTTTTTTTTTTTTTTTTTTTTTTTTTTTTTTTGATAGAATAGGAGAAATTTTCAGGCTGGAGTCTTGGGTAAATAATATGGTATTCAATATTTGGTTAAATTTTGAATCTCAGTTGTCACAAGCTAACGGGAGGTGAATTACCTCAAGAGAGTAGTTTACTGGGCACCATTATTTATAACCGCACTGCATATACCTTATTTTAGAGTTTGTTTTCTTTTTAGTATTAAGGGAACAGGCTAGGAGAACACTTAACACATGTCCTTTTGTGTGTGTTCAATGGCTTTGACAGATTACTTAATGTAAAACCTGAAGTGTTTGAGGCTAGAAATGTGAGCTTATGGCTTCATTACTATTGCCTCTGGAAAACAAGAATTATATGTGATTTATTGTCTTTTATTTCATGCCATTTATTTTATTATCCCCCATGTTAAATTTGTTTCCTTTAGAACTGTTGAGGCCCTGTATCAATAGGCTTTTCCTCTTCCTGAACCTTGACAGTTTTAATGAATGCTCAGAGTTACACTGTGTAGGGCAAGTTTCTTTTCTGGTTTTTAAATACAGGTGTTCTTTTTTACTCCTAGAACCCGCAGACAAAAACATATTTGTCTGTCTTTGATAATGAGGAACAGACTTTAGCCTGGTTAGAGTACTTAAAAATGTGTCTGTGTCTGAAAACTATTGAGTAAACTCTTTATGTTCAATTTTAGAGCTAAATACAGTATTTAAGCGAAATGTTATAACGGGAAACGTTATATAAATAGTTATACACAATTGAAAACATTTTTTAGGTATGAGTCCCTTAGAAAATGGTATTTGGAGTTAGATACGGGAAAGTAACAGAATACACTGCTGCATGCGTCACTGCCAAAGGTCTTGTTTCTGACGACTCAAATTGGCTGCCACATTCTCTTTGCATAGAATAAAGCTTGTTTCACCAATCTTTTAAGGTTCTTTTCTTATTTGAAATATAAATGTTCATAAAACTGTTGAAACAGATCTTTCATTTTTTTCCATGATACCCCTGATTATGCAAATACTTTGTGTTATCATTTGTTTTGGTGAGGGTTACCTGGAACCACTTGCCCATGTTCTAATTTGATGTCCAAGGGACTTGACTTTATGGCAATGAAAGAACGAAAACAGTAACAACCCCTCTAACTTTAGAAGTAGTTTAAAGGAGTCTTTCTGAACCTACCCTGGTTTGGGGACCTGTCTTTTAAAAGAAAAAGTAATTCAAATTTATTATTTAAATAATTGAAAAATATCAATAATATCAACATATAAATATACAGATTAAAATAATTAAAACAGGCCGGGCACGGTGGCTCAAGCTTGTAATCCCAGCACTTTGGGAGGCCGAGGCGGGTGGATCACGAGGTCAAGAGATCGAGACCATCCTGGTCAACATGGTGAAACCCCGTCTCTACTAAAAATACAAAAAATTAGCTGGGCATGGTGGCGCGTGCCTGTAGTCCCAGCTACTCAGGAGGCTGAGGCAGGAGAATTGCCTGAACCCAGGAGGTGGAGGTTGCGATGAGCCGAGATCGTGCCATTGCACTCCAGCCTGGGTAACAAGAGCGAAACTCCGTCTCAAAAAAAAAAAAAAAAAAAAAATAATAATTAAAACAATTTGTTTGTCATCAGTGGAGTACAGCCACTGTTAATATTTTTGATGTATTCTATCTTGAAATATAATAATTCCAATTCTGTAGGGTTAGTTCAAGGAGTTAAAAAGTTAGTCCTGGAAAATTTATACAGACAGAAAATTTGTATTATTAAACATCCAAAGCATTTGTAAAATTTTTGAAAACAAATATGGGTGTATAACTATGTATGTACCCAACATAATGCCTGCATTTTCCAGCATTAAGATACATCATATTATTTTATTAAAAGGAATGTCCTAATTTGGAAGTTTTCTTACAATAAGCATTTTAATGTTTAGTTATTAATATTTGGTGAAATTAGATGAAGAACGTGAATTAGGATGTATAATGAAACAGTATGATAGACCAATTGATGCAATAATATAACTTTTCTTTCTTTTTTTTTTTCGAGACAGAGTCTCTCTATTTCTCTCTGTTGCCCAGGTTGGAGTGCAGTGGCAGGATTTTGGCTCCCTGCAGCCTTGACTTCCTGGGCTCAAGCGATCTTTCCACTTCAGCCTCCTGAGTAGCTGGAACTACAGGTGCACATCATCATGCCTGGATAATTTTTATATTTTTAGTAGAGACAGGATTTTGCCATGTTGTCCAGGCTGGTCTTGAACTCCTGGGCTCAAGTGATTCTCCCACCTGGGCCTCCCAAAGTGCTGGGATTAGAGGCCTGAGCCACTGCACCTGGCCAGTATACATTATTTTAAACATTTTTTTCTGTTTACAAGAGTTATTTGAGCTCAAAGCATGGAAATCTAGAAAATACAGAACCCCACCCTTGCCTCAAGAAAAAAAAATTCCAAAACTAATAGATCCATCAATGAGGGAAAACCTTGATTGGCATTTTATTTTACTTTAATTTTTAAATTTATTTTGAGACAGAGCCTGGATCTGTTGCCCAGGCTGGAGTGCAGTGGCATAATCTTGGCTTACCACAGCCTCTGTCACCTGGCAATCTCCCACCTCAGCCTCCCAATTAGCTGGGACTACAGGTGCACAGGTGCAGGTCACCACAACAGCTTTTTTTTGGTATTTATTGTAGAGATGGGGTTTCACCATGTTGTCCAGGCCGGTCTCAAATTCCTGGCCTCAAAAGAGCTGCCCACCTTGGCCTCCCAAAGTGCTGGGATTATACCATGCCTGGCCCTGGTTGGCATCTTAGTAAGTGACCTTACAGCTTTATTTGTTTTATTTTATTTTATTATTTTAATCAATTAATTAATTTTTTGAGATGAAACCTTCCCCTGTTGCTCAGGTTGGAATGCAATGGGGCGATCTCTGCTCACTGCAACCTCTGCCTCCTGGGTTCAAGCGATTATCCTGCCTCAGCCTCCCAAGTAGCTGGGACTATAGGTGTGAGTCACCACGCCCAGCTAATTTTTTGTATTTATAGTAGAGACGGGGTTTTGCCATGTTGGCCAAGCTGGTCTCGAACTCCTGACCTCAGGTGATTTGCCTGCCTTTGCCTCCCAAAGTGTTGGGATTACAGGCGTGAGCCACTGTGCTTGGCCTTTTTAAAAGCAAAATAATAAAACACTTTATTTTATAGTTTAGAAAAATATAACACTACATGCCCCCCCCCTTTTTTTTTTGAGATGGAGTTTCACTCTTATTGTTCAGGCTGGAGTGCAACCTCCACCTCCTGGGTTCCAGCGATTCTCCTGCCTCAGCCTCCCGAGTAGCTGGGATTACAGGCATGTGCCACCACGCCTGGCTAATTTTGTATTTTTAGTAGAGATGGAGTTTCTCCATGTTGATCATGTTGGTCTCAACCTCCCAACCTCAGGTGATCCTCCCACTGTGGCCCCCCAAAGTGCTGGGATTACAGACATGAGCCACTGCGCCTGGCTGGAAAACACTACATTATCTGATTTGGATCTTTAAAAAATCCAGTGAATTTGATGGGAGTGGGGGTGGGCATTGTTATTACTAAGTAGCCTCTTTGCATAGAACTCAGGATCATGGTAGAGGTAACTTGATAGCCTGTCTCATTTAGTAAGTGGTAAAACTGAGACTTGCACCTAGGATTTTAGATTCCAAGTTAATTTTTTTTTAAACTATACTGTGATGCTTTGAAAGTTATTAGTTTCTTGTCTTCCAGGCCCTTTATTAGTTTAGTTTGAGTCTTCATTTTTGTTATAAATTATTGTTTTTAATTCTGCTGAAATATATATATCATTTTATAACCATTTTTAAGTGTACACTTCTGTGGTATTAAGTACACTTAAATTTTTGTGCAATTGTTATCACCATCCTTCTCCAGAAGTTTTTCGTCTTCTGCAAATTCATTTATATTTCCATGTTATTTTGCCTTTCTGTATTAAATGCTTTTGTATGTGTAGTGTGAATTATTTAGATTACTACATATAAATCAAATAATGCCTGGCACATAATAAGAACTTAACACAGGGCCAGGCGATGTGGCTCACGCCTGTAATCCCAGTACTTTGGGAGGCTGAGGTGGGTCTATCACTTGAGGTCAGGAGTTCCAGACCAGCCTGACCAACATGGCAAAACCCCGTCTCTACTAAAAATACAAAAAATTAGCCAGGTGTGATGACGTGTACCTGTAATTCCAGCTACTCGGGAGGCTGAGGCACGAGAATCGATTGAACACAGGAGGCAGAGGTTGGAGTGAGCTGAGCTTGTGCCACTGCACTCCAGACTGGGTGATGGAGTAAGACTCCACCTCAAAAACAAACACACAAACAAAACTTGGCACATGCTAGCTGCTTCCCACAACTGAGGTGATAGAGGCTAACAGAGATATAGCTTTGCAGGGATGATAAACAGGAAGCGGAGAAAATGGGATGTGAATGGAAAGCCTGTTTTTTGCAATTTGTTTTTGGTCTTGTCTTTTCCTTGTTAAATTCAAAGTGGTTTTGGGTGTGCATACATATGCTCTATGTACGTAGTAGAATTGAAAAATCGTGAAATGAAATTCAGCACAATATAGAGTTTGGAATCATTGTTTTATAATGGGTTTAAAAGTACAGTGTTAATGCATGTATATAAATAAATGTAACTATGAGATTCAGTCTTTAATAAAAGTATTTTAATTTTGTCTGACAGGATTTGAACTTTTCGAAGAGCTGCCAACCCCCAAGTTCAGCTTTGGAGGCAGATCTGGAAACAGTGTAGCAGCATTGGTTTTCCAAAAAATGTGAGACTTTCTTGGACAGATTCAGGTAGCTACACAGAATCTACGCAGCAAAGTTACCCTGACACAGAAAATCCATGTGCAAATAAATGCTTAGTAAGTACACAGGTTGCACATGTTGAATAGAGTATAATGGATTGGTAAAAGAAAATAATGATGAGCACCTAAGTGGTTGGGTTTTAGAGATCAATCAAGAATAATTTTTAATTTTCTTTTGTATTTGAAATGTAAATGGTTTTCTTTTTGATTAAAAAAGTTTAACTGCAAACAGTTAAAAACTTTAAAGTAGTAAATGAGTTTATAGAAAGCATGTGTTCTTGATTTTTGTGCCTTTGTAAAGTTGGATTGAATGTAACTATTTATGAATATTTGACCAAATTATTCCAACACCAGAATAATAAGCAAACAACTTTCTTAGTATTTTGACTATTTATAAAATATAACAAGAAATACTATTTTGTGTTGGATGGTGGTTATTTTTAAAATTAGTTAATACCTGAGGAAAGGCCTCTTACCTTTATGTATATAGTTAAACAAAATCAGAGAAATGTATCAGTTGCTCAAAAGTTACCAAGCCTGCATTTTGTAGCTGTGGTCTTCTACACCCTATAAGGGATAAACAGGTAGTAGAAGGAAAGAGAACTAAGGGATATTATCATTTGCTAGCATTATGTTAAGTTGTCTTATTAAGTAATTGAATGTTTTCAATATCTTCTTGAGGTATGCATTGCTCCTTCTTGTTTCTACCTGTAAGAAAAAGGAAACTGAGAGAAGTGATGTCACTTTGATGAAGTCAAACAGTACAGGACGGAGCCAGGATTTTTATCTGGGTCTGTGCGACTTTAAAACACATTCTCTTCTCCTAGCATGTTCTGCCTCATAGGTGCTCAGTCTCTGCTTTATAGCATTTACAGTTCAGCTGGAGACCTATGATTATTACATATAAAGTTCAGTTAGAAAAGATGGGTAGTTATTTTGTTAGTGTCCTTCTGTGGAGTTTCAGAATAGCAGTCAGCTAAGTCTGTCTCATATCATCCCTCATTACTTTTCCCCGTCTCCTTACTCAAAGACTTGCCTCTATTAAGAATTTTGTCATTCCTCTGTGAAAAGGCAGTGTAAGTTATATAAGCCTGCAGCATTACATCCACAAAGATGTTCTAGTTGGTGGCTAATGTAGCAAGAGAAACAGTTTATTAATGTTTTTGAAAAGATAAGGCATATTCATACTTAATGCCATTTTGAATTTATGGTAATATTTTAATATTGGAGCCATAATACAAATTTTTACAAAATTTTTTGATGATTTTCAACTTTGTGGGCCTATTGGGTACCATAACTAACAGAATTTTTGTTTATCTGGCAAATATTACTCCTGTATTGAATAAGTCTAACATTATGTCCTTTTTCTTTTTGGGGAGGGGTAGGTGGGGGAGTGAGTTTTATATTTAGACCAACATTGTCCAACCATTAAGACAAGATAGTTGAAGACATGTATGTGGACTTTAAAGAAAAATAACATTTTTTGAAAAGCTTTTATTTTCAACATGTAAAAAGTGAAAAATTATTTCAAAATACATGCAATTTAAATTTTTTACAAAACTGTGTTGATTTTTGTAAGATAGCACATCTTTTTTTTTTAAATATGGGGTTTCAACGTGTTGGTCAGGCTGGTCTTAAACTCCCGACATCAGGTGATCCGCCGCCTTGGCCTCCACAAAGTGCTTGGATTACAGGCGTGAGCCACCACGCCCAGCCGATAGCACATCTTAAACTGTAGAAAATTTCATAGTTTTTGAGATCTGGTCTTTGTTTTTTTTTTTCACATAATATTCTTCTATTTTAAATATAGTTAAGTACTTTTTTAGGATTTTGAGTTAAGTATATGCTATTTTAATGCACTAATCCTACAGACTAGGCTTTCTGTGTGACTAGACTGAGATGTTGAGTTTTATTCACAGAAAGCTTGGAATGGTTGTTTGTTGGAAAGCTTTTCGAGTCACTGTTTGGGGCGTGTTTGTGCCATTTGCAAAGGTGAAGTTTTTTTTTTTTTAATCATAGAGCTTTTGATAAGGTTAGGAAAAGGAAGTTGTCATCTCTTCTTATTACTCTAATCCTCCTGGAAGCTAGCCTCCTTAGGACTAAAACCAGAACAAATAGAAGGTCGAAAAATGCCAATAAGAAATTAATATTTTCACATAATTTCACAGGTCAGCAAATGTCCCCAGGTTCCTGAAACAAACCATAAATACATTAGTTAACTTAGCATTGGTAAATTGTATAAATATGTGGGTAACTGTGACAGAAATTATGCAGTTATAAAAAGGTGCAGTAAGCTATGTAGTGAATTCTGTTTTCTGTGGATAAGAATTTGGAATTGTAATTTCATTTAATCAAAAGACACTTATTTTGAGGAAACTTGTTTGAAATGCAAACGAGATTTCTCTGTAGAGCCTGCACAGAATTGTTGCTTTTCATTATGATGTTACTGCTGCAGAACAGGCCACTTCTGTGTGTAGGAAGTGCGTATGCAAGTCCAAAGGGAACTGAGGCCTGAATGGGTGGGTCACACCAATTAGCAAATAGAAAGTTTTTGGTACATTTTGTTTTAAGCCAGGTGCACAAGTTAGAGTTGCTTTTTGGGACTGGTATTTATGTATGTGAGAATCAAACCTGATATCACTCTTGGCAGCCTGACTAAAGCCATTTAAAAATAAGTACAAACTGTCCTTGAATGATTTTTTTCTCATTGTAGTGGCACCGAGTTTTCCTTTTTTCTTCATCTGTGGTATGCTTACAATCTTCTGGGTTTTTTTTTTTTTTTTTGAAGAAATAAGGGAGCTAAGTATATGCAAAAGACTTTCCATTTTTTTATGAGTTATGTGCTTCGGTGGACTGACTTATTTTTAAATTTCTATGATACTGTAATGCAGTACTTTATGTTGACCTCAGTTCACTTTTATCCAGAGTATAACAGAAACCTCAATTTTTAAGGAACCTGCATTAGTAGTTAAGTTTCATATGGCCTTGAAATAATTTTCTTCAAGTTGGTATACAGAGAAATAGCATATTCCTGCCTATGTTAATGACTTTCATTTATGTTCTTTTAAGTAATTTTATTTTACGAATTGTGTGTGTGTATGTGTGTGTCTTTCTCTCTCTCTGTCTGGTGGCCTGCAATGAAAATCTGTACAAATGTGAACAGTTTGTCTCCAGGGGAGAGCCCTGGGGTTTGATTTCCTGTTTTTGGCTCTGTAAGCTAAAGTGTATGTGCTCCTGGATAGCCCTCTACTTTAAGAGTATGAGACCAAGTGTCTTGTGTTCACAGTAGTAACCTCTTTAGCTAATTGTGTGTCTGTGTGTGGGAGGGGGCTGTTGATGGGCTCTGAAAGAAGTCTTGTCTAGTACACTTCACTGAATGAAGGCTGCCTGTGACCTAGAGCTTGATTGTGGGAGGTGAGGAGCATATGTGGCTGAAAGACAATTGCATAATGGGAAAAAATTAGGAAATCCTTACATTTCTCTTGGCTAGGCAGGAAACAGAGATGTCCATAGAAGAAGGGGGAGCCCATCAGCATGTTTTATTAACAGTTAATGGAAGAAAATTAATGCTAATTTATTCTTCATATACACCATGCAATTTGTTAGAAAAGTAAAAGAATAGTTGGAAATTCTTTGGTCAATTGATGGATTCCTATGTTCGGGGCATAGAAATGAAACTCAACATCAAGCAGACAAATACCCAAGCCCACAGGCTACATAAATGCTGAATAAAACCAGCTCTACAATGGAACCCTGAAAAGCGTCGGGTAAGAAGCCTAATGAATGATTGAATATGACCTTAGCAAAATCCCTGGAGTGTTGTTGAAAGATCATTCATTTCCAGCTTAGATGTCAAGATGGGCTCCAGTAACCAGGAAAAAAAGAGAGCTTGAGTCAGTACTCACTGAGTTTTAAAAATCTTTTACAACACGGTGCATTAGACTGATCATTAAAAGGACTTCTCTAGCTGAATTTTGAGCTGTCACTATAGTTTAGGCCCAGGGAAATAAACTTAAAAAGATAGGAATAATTCCTAAGACATGAATGTATCAGTATCCTATCCTGCTTTTATGGAGTAGAACTTCAAAAACTGAGATGTGTAGGCTGGCAGAATGTACTTTTGTCATGCTGATACCATTGTAAAAAAAGTCTTACAACTAGGAGATCAATTGAGCCCTCAAGTATTTGCAAATTACTTGCCTAGCTTGTTAGAGGAAGAAATAAAAAGCCAAAATCTACATTTTTGTTTTCAAAAGAAATGATTTCTTTGTTTTCTGAAGAGATGAGAAATGATAAATTCTTCCATGTTCTGTTCTATTATTACCGTACCATATCAGCAAATGATAAGTATTTTAGTGAGTGATCTTTATTGTTCATGCTATCTGGAAGCATCTTAAGAAAAGCGAATCTAGTACATCTGTTTTCCCAAATATGTAAAAATTTACACATAATCCGGCAGTTAGTATTGAGTAGGTTAGGAAAAAATACGAAATACTCTGGTTGAGTAAGGGGACTATGAACTGTATTTCTCACTTTTCATTAATGTATTACAGATCAGGCAGTTTATCATCAATGGTGATAGCAGAATTGAAATGGTGTGGGATGGCTGTAGTTCCCCAGCTTTTGCCTGCCTTACTGCTGCATGGAGGAGGGAATTGTCGGGAGGAAGAGGCTAAATGTAGAAGAGTGTGGGTGCTGTCAGTTCACATTTTCCTCCTAACCCTTCTGCTAATAGGAAAATGTCAGGCCTTTGTTCCCATCTAATTTTAGTACATCCTGGCTAAAAAAATGTTAGGATGAAAAAATGTTAGGATGATTTCCAACCGTAGAACTTTGAGGGGTGGAGTAGGGGAAGGAAGAGTGGAGGAAAGAGCAGTTTATACTCCATATCCGTCTGCCTTGCTGCGACAGCACCTAGCCCCTACTCTGTTGATTTTGGGAATGAAATAAATTTAGATGCATTGAAACAGTGATAATTAGGTTTTCCTT